TAACTGCAGTACACCTTGGTCCTACACTTATAACTGTAGGACACCATGGTACTGCACTTATAAGTGTGATACTGTACGACACTTGAGTTTCCAGAGAACGCATGAACTGTAGAATGTTATTTCTAGAGTGGAACATGTTGGGGGAGGATGGAGGGTCTGAAGAAGCCGGAGGCACGGCCTTTGCGTGAGGACGGTTTGCTAACGGACAGGCTGGAACCTTGCCACTGATTCGCAATGGACACTGAAGTCAAACCAGTCTTTAAGCTTTTTTTGAGAAATTTTAAAAATATATAACTTCATTGCTAGTTTAGTGTGTGAAGCGCGTGCCTCGTGTGTCAAGTTGACTCAATGGAGGGATGATTTGAATAAACCAACAACAAAACGGACGTGTTGAGAAATTGACCGAGAGGATTGACGGTGAGATCGACGTTGTTATCATGTTGTCGGCGTGGGGACCTCGAGTCGACGGATGACGGCAAAGTGCGTCACTTGGAACGAGTTGGTTCTCTTGCAGCCGCGCTCCAGGGTCCCCGTCATGCAGTAGCCCATGTTGAAGTCCGCAGCGCTCACGCGGGAGGTCAGGCACAGCTGTCGACAAAAAAATCAAAAGTCACAGTTTTTGTCCATCGCCCCCGTGCACTTTTGTACTGGGACACTGTAAAGCACTGCCCATGAGGTGCCTTACGGCTCCGAGCGAGTAGGCAAAAAGTATTCCGTTGTTTGTTTTTTTAGCCACCGGGTATTTTTTGTTAGGTCCAAAACAGACCTCAATACATATATGTAGCCTGACAATTTACCTTGAAATTCGGGTCCACGTCAGTCTTGAACGATCCGACGATGTGAAGATTGCCGTTCGAAGACTCCTCCATCCGGGCTCTGGTTCTGGTCCTGCAACAAAACGCCACACCAAAATGGTTGAGATGATGATTGTTTCGGAACGGGTGCGGTTGTAGTGTCGGCGCTGCTCTTGCGCTCAATCACTTTGGTGCGTCCAGGCGCGCGGATGTGTGCGAAATTAAACTGGTGGCGGGGTCCCCCGCCAAAACCGCGCGCGGACCCGCAAATTGGATTTGCTAATCTGCCGTTATATTGTTCCTTCGCGGGAGATTATCGCGAACCAATAAAAGCGAGAAACGACTGCAGATAATTAAAGTCGGGCCTTACGCGGCCAGCGGCGGGGCGGGGCGGGACCGGGCGGGGCCGGGAGGCTGGCTGCTCAATCTAACGGCAATCAGCCGACGGGGCCCGGGCCGCAGTAAAAGACAGGAATAACCGAATAATGTAGCCTGGGAAACCTAAGGGGGCGCCAGAGGGGATTCAATTCCTTCCAGGTCACGGGGTCCGTGTCCGCGTACAAAACGCTGGATTTCGTCCCCCTTCACTGGTCGGACCGGGCTCTGGTATAGGGCGTCCGGTTTTATTGTGCTATTAGTCAATTCTAACGACTCCGCACTCCGCCCGCCCGCGCCCCCTCCTCCCGCGAGTACCCCCTTCACCAGCTGGGCCCTATAAAACCCACGCTAACGATGATGGAAGTCCTCTATTTATAATCTTTATAGTGACCGTGCATCGCCGGCTAACTCAGTTATTTGGCCGTAGAAGTGGGCGGTCCGTGCCGTGCGCCTCGGCGACGTGCTGCCGGTGCGGGGTGCGCGCGCTCCCCTGCCAACCCCTTCCTGAGCCCCAATCGCCCCTCCCCCCTCTCTCTTTCAAGTTTCGCGGATGTTTTCAGGCTGGAAGGGGAGAGAGCGCGAGTAGAATGGTCTGTCTACCTGTCCTGGGCAGCCGGGGGGTGCAGGGCAGCCGAAATGCAATCCCGAGTGCAGCAGGGCATAGCTGACGTGCAGGCGTGTGCACACGGGGAGCACCGGGGAGCACCCTCCCCGCAGTCAAAGCAGCTGAGTGAGGAGAGGGTTGGTTTTGGAAAAGAGGTGGCCGGAGGGCGGGCGGACTCGAG